CCCCAAAACCCCAAAACCCCAAAACCCCAAAACCCCTTTCCTTGCGGTTTAAATTGAATAATAATCATCAATTTGTTATAATGGAGAAAGACGGTAGGTTCCCTCCCCCTCCAAAGTCTAGCTGTCACTGCACCTTTTAACACCGATTTCTCTTAAGCTTACTGATAAATCCTATTGTCAGCTCTTTCTAGCTTGATTATCTGACGAAATATTAATAGATGACATAATGCAGCAAGGCGAAGACCAAAACGGTAGCCTAGCAGAGGTCAACCCTAATTCTCTACCACAAGTGTAACTTTACCCTCTTAATACTAGAAATGACAGCTTATTTTCCACTTCAAAAGTCTTGAAGAAGAAACCCAAACGTCAGTCTGAGAAAATTGTCAAAGCCCAAACTTTATCATCTGAACATATATCACCAGCCCAGTAATTTTATATCTCATCAGTAGAAAATCGTTAAAAGATGCTTTCGAAAAGGAATTCAAAAAGAGAAAATAAAGAGTTTAGAAAGAGATATGACTACTACTTGAAAATCAAGAAAGCTTTGAAAATTATCAAGAAGAATTTACCTGAACTACCAGTAAGAATGACCTGAAATTTACCAAATATAGGACAAGGATAAGAAGGAACTTCAAGATGAACTTAGACTCAACCAGACCGTTTCGGAAAATAAGAAGTAAGCCCTTCCTCTAATACTCTAGACCAAATCTTGAGTTAGGCGATAAGGGCTTTAAGTACAAGATCTCTGTGATGAAGGAGAATAAACCAAGAGATTGTGATGACATTCAGGAAAAGACCGAAGATGAGGATAATGCTCCCAATTCTCCAAAGAAACTTCCAAATGACAAGCTTGCTGTTGTCCTGAAGAGTTATAGAGAGAAGTACAAGAAACTTCTAGCGCTTAAGGCAAAGAATGATCATGTAAGACTGTTTTGTTGACTTCTAGAAATTAAAATAAAGCCAAAAAAAATTTGGAAGCCTTAAAGAACAAAAATGGGGTAGAATTAATCAAAGAGCTCAAACTTGACCAGAAAAGGAGGAAGGACACAATGACTGACTTGCTTGAGAGGAAGAGAGAGATGGCTCTGAATGGAGACTTCAAGCTTCCAAAAATGAGAAATTTTACTAGAAAAACCTTCACTCCTGCTAAAAATGTGTCTACTGTTATGGAAGAAGATGATAATGAAGAATTTGAGTCCTTCAGGAAATCTAAAGACATCATTAATTTTACCAGAGACTCACTTAAAATTAATGGATCAAGGACAGAAAGGAGTCGAAATAATATTTCTCGTATGAAATTTGCTCCAGAAGAGTAATCATTAGTATTAATTTTTAGGGAGAAAATTTGAACAAAAAGTATGGAGCAAGCTTTTACAGATTCAAAAGTTTTATAACACATTTGTATAGGTAACCTTCAAAGAATGCAACTCAAGCATATTAGAAATTCATACCATGGATCTTTGGTCGGAAATCTAATGAATTCATATAAAAATCCATGCGCAGTGCAATCTTTGATCAACTTTCAGTCAGTCCTTATTATAATATTTTAGGTGAAGCGGGGCCAACAATTGCGGAAAGCTATTCATGCTTTTCGATAAGCTGTCCTTCGCAGGGACATCAAGTGTTATCGGACATGGCTTCTCAACCATTGGGTCAGTCTTTTCCACTACCAGTGATCTGAAGTCCCACTTGCGTTTCGGAACTGAAAACTAGGAATGGTCTATAACAAACTTTGTATCTTCCCAGCATAGAGGATGCTAGTATCAAAGCAAAATAATATATTGAATTTAACTCTAAACAGGTAAAATGGGGTTTTGGGGTTTTGGGGTTTTGGGGTTTTGGGGTTTTGGGG